TAAAACCTCTTAGGTTTCTATAGTAAACCCCTCCCTTCTTTATACCCCTTAATAGTCCCCAATCCACAAACGATTGGTGATGGCTCCCCTGGACATGTTAATCTAACATTTTATGAAACCCTAAGTAAATCTGACAAGGAGAACCGCTGCGGACAAGTTCATCTTTAAAGTGGCAGAAGAAGAAAAAGGAGAAGAAGAATAATAAAAATAATAAGTACTGAGCAAAAACAATAAGTCTCCAAACTTTGTTTGGGAGACTTAAATATATATGGTTTAGGGGTGGGGATCTCGACCATTTCCAAGTTCTCAAACAGGAGGGGGTGGGGTGACCCGAGGAACTCCCCATATATTTCATTTGATTTGTTATATTGTCCCATACATGAATATATATGGTTTAGGGGTGGGGATCTCAACCATTTCCAAGTTCTCAAACAGGAGGGGTTGGGGTGACCCCAGGGACTCCCCTATATTTCATTTGATTTTTTTTATTGTCCCATACATGAATGTATATGGTTTAGGGGTGGGGATCTCAACCATTTCCAAGTTCTCAAACAGGAGGGGTTGGGGTGACCCCAGGGACTCCCCATATATTTCATTTGATCCCATACATGAATATATATGGTTTAAGGGTGGGGATTTCGACCGTTTACAAGTTCTCAAACAGGAGGGGGTGGGGTGACCCCAGGGACTCCCCCAATATTTCATTTGATTTGTTTTATTGTCCCATACATGAATATATATGGTTTAGGGGTGGGGATCTCGACCATTTCAAAGTTCTCAAACAGGAGGGGGTGGGACGACACCGGGGACTCCCCCAAATTATTTTCATTTGATTTCTTTTATTGTCCCATACAAGTATATATATTGTTTAGGGGTGGGTATTGCTACGGTTTACAAGATAAAAGTACATTTTCAAATTGAAGGGGGTTGGGATGACCCCCAGGGACTCACCCTATATTTTGGTTGATTTTTTTTATTGTCCTGTTCTCATTACTGAAGACTGCATTTGTCTATCACTTACTTTTTTTGTGAAATAGTCATTTGAAAATTTAAAAAAATAAAATCCCATAGGGTTCTGTAGTAAAACCCTCCCTTCTTCAGGCCCCTCCAAATACCCCTAAATAGACCCCAATGCACAAACAAAAGATTAATGGCTCAGCTAGACATGTTAGTCTAATATTTTATGAAACCCTAAGTAAATCTGACAAACGGTCAAAGTTGTCTTCTTAGACGGTTTGAGTGGATTCGGTCCGACTTGTCTCGGGGACGAGTTGTCCACATTACTTAAAACATCCCATCAACGTCGATTTCCACATCTGTTTCATGACCTCGTTTCATTCATAAAATAACAACAACCTTATTTGGCAAAATAAGTTAAAAATAACCGCCCACTTATATAACTTTATTTCCTCTATCATAGAGATTTGTTGTACATGAACAATATTCCTGCGCATTTTGCCATTTGGGAAATATAAACGACTTGTAATTACCGATTTTCGGCGATGAAATATTTCATACAATTGTTCTTTGACATCGTAGACAAAAGCACAGGGGATAATAAACTACGTAGGATTTCTATTGAGCACTACTTCCTATGTGCAACTTCAAAAGTTTTGGGTAGTTCGACGATCATTTAAGGTTTTTCTTGTCATATTTTTTGTATTCCAGAAATAAAAGTATTAAAAAATGTCCAATTAGTTATAAATAACATAATAGCCAGCTAGATATATAATAACAATGGCACGTATTTCAGCATTTATTGGGTAGAACACAAATCTAGGGTGTTCGCATAAGGCAGCTTAACTGCCTAAAAATGCTGAAAGTATTTTTGAGTTATTGTCCGAAAACTGGAAAATCCCCCTTTATGTAATGAATAAAACCCCATTAATCGGAAACGTATGGTCTAAAATTTATAAAAATCAAAAGGGAGCTCATGTCGATAGAAATAAACAATTCACCAAACTTTCTTGCAAATTGGTGAAATTGTTTTCGAGTTATTGTCCACAAACTGGAAAATCCCCCCTTTTTTAATGAATAAAACCCCAAAACTCGAAAAACGGTAAATCCGAAATTTTTAAAAAACGAAAGGGAGCTCATGTCAATAGAAATAAACAATTCACCAAAGTTTCATGCATATTGGTTAAAGCGTTTTTTAGTTAATGTCCGACATGTTGACTACGGACAGACGGACGGACAGACGGTCAATGGTATACCATAATACGTCCCGTAAACGGGCGTATAAAAATAGTTGACCTATTGCTTATAGTTTCCAAGAAACAAACTTAACCAGGAAAACTTGACATTGACTAATGAACCATGAAAATTAGGTCAAGGTCAAATGAACCCTGCCAGACAGACATGTAGACCTTACAATCAATCTATGCATTAAATATAGTTGTCCTATTACTTATAGTTTAAGAAAAATAGACCAAAACACAAAAACTTAACATTGAGCAATGAATCATGAAAATGAGGTCAAAGTAAAATAAAACCTGCCAGACTGACATGTACATCGTAAAATATTTTCAAACACCAAATATAGTTGACCAGTTAACGTTGCATATAGTATTAGGAAAAAAGACCAAAACACAAAAACTAAACTTTAACCACTGAACCATGAAAATGAGGTCAAGTCATGATCAGATGACACCTGCCAGTTGGACATGTACACCTTACAATCATCCCATATCCCAAGGATCTTGCAAGGTACACACATACTAACTATAGTTATCCTATTACTCATAATAAGAGAGAAATTAACATTACAAAAAATCTTTAATTTGTTTTTAAGTAGTCACTGAACCATGAAAATGAGGTCATGGACATCAGTGTTCTCCCGAGAAATTGTTTAAGGGGCAAAAATTTATAGTGTGTACCCCTTTTTTTTGGAATGAACTACCGTGACGCGAAACAATCATTCAGAACTACAAAATGAATTTAAAAGCTTCATGACAGTCTCTGTTTAATTATGTACACTATTATAAAATATAATCAATTTACACCCATATAAAACACATTGATCATGCTGATATCACATGAGACAACTTCATAACATAAGGCATTTTTATACAAAGTATGAAGCATCCAGGTCTTCTACCTTCTGAAGTATAAAGCTTTTAAGTAGTTAGTTAATGCCTCTGCCAGATCACTATCCCTATGTCTCGCTTTCTGCAGCATAAGTCGTAGGCTGGACAGAAGTTGTAGGCTCGACAAAAATTACAATGTCTGGTCAAATACCATGTAAAAATCATGAAAAAAACACTGTCTTAAATAGTCTTAACATCAAATATCATGGATATTGTTTAATCATAACTTATGATATACTGGCAATAATAATTTATAAAAAAACTGCTTCGCTGAGCGCAGCTGGCGTTAGGGCAAAAATGGACACAATATTCAAGCTTGATACAGGTCTGAATTCGGATTGTAATTAAATATTTGACATATTACATGTTTCCGAATAAATGTAGTCAAAGAACTTGAAATTGGTTATATGAATTGAATTTATATTCAATTAAAGATTTCTTGCTGTTGTGCAATACACTGTGCTGTTGCACAATACTTAGTAAATCTGTTGTCAGACTATAAACAAATAAAGTTCAATTAATTCTCAATGTCATATTAGAAATTTATGAAAATCAAAAGGGAGCTTACATCAATAGATATAAGAATTGCTGACAGCATTTTTGAGTTATTGTCCGAAAACTATAAAATCCCCCCTTTTTTAATGAATAAAACCCCATAACTCAGAAATGTAAAATGTAAAAATTTATAAAATTCTAAAGGGAGCTTACTTAAATAGATATAAACAATTCACCATAGTTTCATAAGAACTGCTGAAAGCATTTTTGAGTTTTTGTTTGAAAACTGGAAAATCCCCCTTTTTTATGAATAAAACCCTGTAACTCGGAAAAGTAAAATCTAAAATTTATAAAAATCGAAAGGGAGCTCATGTCAATAGATATAAACAATTCACCACAATTTCTTGCAAGTTGGTGAAAGCATTCTTGAGTTATTGTCAGAAAACTGGAAAATCCCCCTATTTCTAATGAATAAAAACCCATAACTCAGAAACGTAAAATTCAAAATTTATAAAAAACGAAAGGGAGCTCACGTCAATAGATGTTAACAATTCACCAAAGTTTTATGCAATTTGGTTAAAGCGTTTTTGAGTTAATGTCCGACATGTTGACGACGGACAGACGGGCGGACAGACGGACAATGGTATACCATAATACGTCCCGTAAACGGACGTTTAAAAATTGAAAGAATTATATATCATGAACTTTTTAGCAATTAACATATGCAGCTCACAAAATATAAATATTACCTTAATTTGATACACGAATATGTGTATATGGCGGTATGTCAATGTGATAATAAGATTTATCTTACCTCCTATATATTTCTAGGGAATATGATTGGTTAAAAGCGACCGTGTGGAGACCGTGTATAATCCATATGGAGTTAGTAGGCGTGGTTTATTTTAAAACACGGTTAGTAGCGGTGTTACATCCCTTTATAAAAAAAAAAAACACGGTGTTGAAGAAATATCTGAAACGCTTCACCCGGATATAAGATGAACAATTGATGATGAGCGATTGAAATAGATGCAGAAAACACATTAAAAGCTAACAAGTTGTTATTGTTGGCATTTGTTTTTGTATAGACCAATGGAAGTAGGTTCTTAATATGGAACACCTGATCACTTTGATAGGCCACTAGTCTAAATGCCACATGTTAAGGTAGTCGGTAAGATAAATTTGTTACATAGTGTGCTAGTGATCTAATATGATGTATATGGGGGTCAGTAAATTTCATATGGGGTTCGAGCTTTGCTCTCACCCCATATATATCGTATTAGGTCACTAGTACACTATATAACTAATAGTACAATGTACATTTGTACTTGTATACAAAAGTTTTGAAATATATAATGTCCTTTAAAATCAGATCCTGAATAAAGTATGTCAGATCATTAAAAATTAAAATTTCAGTACCTGATATACGTAACCATATCTGTGATATATTCAGCTCTGGTTTATTATACATAGATATCCTAGCATATGGTGCCCTGGAGTAGTAATGATCTATTAAGCCTCGCCTGAAAAGATTGCTTTGACATTTATATGAAAAAGGTAGACTGCCATACCGTCCATCTGTAATTTCAATTACACTATGTGGATGACAATCTGTGATATCTTGGTTCTTATGTAGTCGCACATCTACAGCTTGAAAGCGTAATCTAGCACCTGAGTCACAATCTGAGGTTGATATTACACAGGCACAGAGATTACTGTTTTGAAAACCAGGATGAGGAGTAGATTGCGATCCATTCAAGATTAGGTTGATTGCTTTACCATAAATGGTACCATTGGAACACATGTCTACAAAGGTGTTATCTACAAAAGAGCAACAATCAAAAGTAAATTTGTGGTCAATATGACAATATTATGGTATAATAAACAGTGATCTGTGGGATGTTTTATTAATGCACTTACATGACATACTCAACTCATTGTAACTCTGATGAGCAATAACATCAGGTCAGGTCTTATGTCATATTCATTTTCAATGTACTAAAAAAACTCAGTTTCACAACAAAACATTTGGTTTTGATGTCCATAGTGACCCCTGGCAGTTGATTGTCCGTCTCCAGTCTGCACCAAAATATTTTCCAATTACTACTCTGTAGACCAATATTCAGTCATTTTTTTCTTACCGGTATGTGTCTTAAAAATGTTTTGCTAATGCATGTACTTACTAGTCTGAATAAAATTTCACTGCATCTCTTTCCCTTATATGTAAATGTAAATAATGAAAAAAAATAATTCATAGTGATATTACTTTTTAAATTCTAATGTAACACCATCATATAAATGGCCCATGGTGCATGACTCTTTCATATCTTTACTCTTCTCATGTTTATAGTAGAAGTTTGTTTATCAGGTTTATAGAAACTAGCCCTCTTCAATTATTGTTTCTACATATGTTTTTGGATTTTTATGACCAATAATTAAGTTACATACAATTGGTCGTGTAAAAAGGACTTATCTCTAGCTAATTTTCTTTTTTACGAGCATAAATCTTACCATCTTCACAAGTGTATGTTGCTGCTACATAATTAGACACATCACGGGAAGAACATCTGGATACTGTTGAGATCTGCTCAGCCCTCAACCCTTCACATTGTTGTTTCCCTGAACATTTTGTATACACAGGAAATGCTACTGAATCTGCGAATGGTATACGACAATCACCAGCATTATAGGAACAACACTGTCTCTTGTCTTGGCAAGATTCTTGGACATTTGGACAGTAATTGGACACTTCTTTGGAAGCATACTCTAATTTATGTAAAGCAATTTTCTTTGATGAAGGACACTGCAGAGAATATTGATAACTACATCGTCCGGTGCAGGCTGTCACGGTTGTTTCACTGGTGTCCCTAATACTCTCAACTATAATAAATAAAACATTTTTTTCTATATTCAACAGTCTTCTGATGCATGTACATCAAACCTATAAAGTCATACTAGGACATTTACTGTGACTTGACTGTTAGTGTTGCTCTCCACTATTGCAACTTATTCAAAATTCTGATCAAATTGCAATTTGTTTTATAAAACCAAACTGTTCAACTGGTCAGAAATTTGAACAAACTGCTGTAGAAAACCACAGTCAAGTCGTGATAGTGCAAGGTGATAAAATAAAGCATACTTACAATCCTATAAGACTTTAATTCCACTTCAATGTTGTTATGAAAAATCAGTCTAACAGTTTGTAAAGAAATTTTATTGTTATTATCATGCTAAAGGTGATAGGTAGTAATTTTGAATTGCTATAAAAATGTCCAAACTAAGCTTTCATACAATTTTTCTTTCGAAAAGTCTTCTATATTCATAAGAATCAGACATCATTTGAATTAAAACATCTTATATTCAGTAAAATATATGTGAAATTACAATACGTTGTTAATAATTACATTGTATAAGTTTCCATGGGAGATAACCTAAAAAGGCTAAAATCATTATTCTTTTAAAATAGAAAACTTTTCGAAAGAAAAATTGATTATCTCCAATGCAAACTTCCTAAAAACGTATTTTAATTTCACACATATTTTACTGAATACAAAATGTTTTAATTCAAATGATGCCTGATTCTTATGAATATAGAAGACTTTTTGAAAGAAAAATTGTATGAAAGCCTAGTTTGGACATTCTTATAGCAATTCAAAATTACTACCCATCACCTTTAGCATGATAATAACAATAAAATTTCTATACAAACTGTTGGACTGATTTTTCATAAGAACATTGAAGTGAAATTAAAGTCTTATAGGATTGTAAGTATGCTTTATTTTATCACCTTGCACTTTCATGACTTGACTGTGGTTTTCTACAGCAGTTTGTTCAAATTTCTGACTAGTTGAACAGTTTGGTTTTATAAAACAAATTGCAATTTGGTCAGAATTATGAATAAGTTGCAATAGGTGGATAGCAACACTTACAGTCAAGTCACAGTAAATATTATGGATAAATTTATCTGTGTGGGTATATATAGTACCAATTTATGTTTATGAAGGACAAATTTTTTTCAGGAAATATTGTCTTTGTGGCTTTCTTAATTCTACATGCAAACTCATTGGAAATTTGTTTTTTTTTTTGTGGCTGAACACTTATAATTACATGACATAGATTTGTGGATCACACTAAAAAAAATCAAATGCACAAAAATAGAACAACACAAATATTAGTATAGGGTTCCGTAGCCTTGCCTGTGAGTGCTGTTGTCAGTGCAATAGTGTAATGGTGACTGCCAAACAAACTAATAACAGTTTTCAGTAAAAAAAATAATGAAAAACGAAACGGAAGCAATTTTTCTCTGGGTGCTTTCTTTTGATTAAGAAGATTCTATGTAAAATTCCATGATGATTGATTGATTGGCAGTGTTCTCCCTACAAATTTCATATAGCATCCTGGTAAATAAAAAACCCATGAAATACCATCTTGTTTCTAGAATTTATAGCATCACATCCATAACACTTTCTATAAGGGAAACATTTTTAATAGCATCACATTCAAGCAATATAGCATCACATTACCATGATGCTAAAAGGCCCTGGGAAGAACACTGATTGGTGTTTAACGCCACTTTCAACACTATTGTGCTATTTCGTGGCATTCAGTTTTTATTGGTGGAGGAAGCCGGAGTGCCCGGACAGAACCACTGACCTTCGCAAACTCCAATGAAGTTTTGCCTATGCAACAGTATAGTAATTAATCTTTTGATTATCATATATCTGTAACTACAATGTAATGGAATTGTACATGCAAATTAAATTGTACATGTATAATACACCTCATCGCTATTTATTACAATCCAGATAAGTTCTGAAATTACACAACTTTTTCATGACGTCACAATCTATTCAATCTTTCTGGGGCCCTGTTTAAACAATGTATTGTACATAAAACTAAAAGAGACATGTCTAAACCACTGTAAACACTTCAAACAAACAATTTTATGACTTTAATTGGCGTTTCAAAATATAGGATCATAATCTATCAAAAATTCAAAATGTTCATTTTCTTAACTTTTCCCTCCCTCAGCTCATTACCAATGACCTTTGTTTTTTGAGACACTTGACCCAAACAGGAATTATCTAAGTGACTGGTTTTTTTTTCCGCATTGGCGATAAGGTGTATTGTATACTGTAGTTCTTGTTGATTTTACTATTTATTAGATATCAAAGACCTGTATAATGAAATTAAACATTTTATAAGGGATCTATTTCAAAGCAATGATTTCCCTAGACTGCATTATTATTTACTGGTATTTGTATCATTGTTTACCTTTTGTTATGATTTATTGATTCACTTACCATAACAAATAAATTGTAAAGCTAAAATGACAGTTGAGCACCATTTCACTAGAACCATTGTAAACAACACTCAGCAACATTCGTTTGTTCTATCACACTGTTCTAACCAAAAGGTGGCTGTACAACACATTTCAAAAGCAGTTGACCTTACTAGAGGTAACCACACACGGTTTGTTTGTCGTTTGCTTTACACAAATACATTGAATATTCAATAGCAGATACGTGTATCATTAAAAAAATATATTGTAGAAACGATTCTTAATAAAACTGTTCAGAAAATATATGTAGATTATCAGTATTTCATTGTTTATCTCAACATATTTGGAGTTTCGATTTTTGACTTCCCATTTCCTTTCACCTGAACCGGAAGCGCTATAAACTGAAAAACTAATTCGGTTCGTTGCAGTTTTCCGAGAAAAAAAATTGTCTACGACACCGCTGTGATGCAAAATTATCTTCCCTGAGTAGCGCAAGTTTTAGACACATCATAATATTATTTATTTAACACGGGAATGGTGTTGTCTTAAAGTACATTATAGGGTATATATTTTGTTTATTCAAAATATACGAAAAGCGGGTGGAGTTCTTAATTTCTTAGTTGCTCGGCATTTTTCCATAAACAATTATTCATTTTATTTTTAATACAGACTTATTTCCTGCATTTTGTTTGCAGAATATTTGTTTTTTCCCTGTCTTTGGTAAGGTCATTTTTTCAGTTTTTTCAAAATTCGTCGCCTAGAAAGGCAGGAAGTGTTTTATCCAGCTCATCATGAGCTTTCTCTGCCTAATGACCATTTAAGTATATATATATATATATTTATTCAAGATAAAAAGGCATGAATTTGACAGTTACAAAATATTACAAAGACATAGATACAGCACTAGACATAGTTGATAGACACTAAAATGATATACATGTTTACTAAAAATTTTAAATTAAGAAATAAAAAATAAAATTATGAAAATTTTCATGATATTTTGATAAATGATTAGACTAGATTAAAAATGAGTGAAATTTAACTTGACTAGATTTTACACTGTAGCCTAATATCTTAGGATGACCCACAACAGTTAGTAAAACTTATTTCCAGTGGTGTCCTTAAGTAAATACTTAGACCAGTTAGCATGAATTTTGTTAATAAAAAAGCTGGGCATACAAACATGTAACTTAAAAACCATTATCTACTCTTTAAAAAAAATTATCAAAGATAAGCTATATAAAAACTATCTCCATTTCTGGAAGGAAAATAGAAATAAAATATTACAATCAGATCAAGGCAAACTTAATACTTATTTTTCCTTTAAAACTCGATTTTGTTTCGAAAAATATTTGGATCTAAAAGATTTTAGATAAAGGTAATCAATCTGTAAGAATAGAATTAGCGCTCGTCCATTAAGGATCGAGACTGATAGATATGCAAAAAATATGTGAATAGAACACCTGGAAAATGTTTATACTGTAGTGTACATTGAATAAAGTTGAGGATGAGATACACGTTGTGACTAAATGCCCACTATATGTTGATAATAGAACTGAGTTTTTTACTGAAATTTCACTAACCTGCAATAATTTTCAATCTTAAGACAACTTTCGAAGTTTACATGGCCATTTACACAAGAAAATTTAGATGTATATAAATGTTTGGGAAAGTATTTATTTAAAAATCTGGAAATAAGGAGAAGTTCAAACTGGATAATAAATGCAAATTAGTCATACATATACTTATTTTGAGTAGTATATTTTATAGATGTTAATTGTATTATCTGGTTCTGTCCTTGCCGCTTATATAACAGTTATTGTAAAACTGTGTTGTTTTCTAATGTCGCCATCAGCATCAAATATCCGTGACACTAAGATAAATGTTTCCTAAAGGGCTGCTATTGGTAACATGGTTTAATTATTCTCTTGATGTGTGAAGGCTGTAGAAAAAATCACCGTGCTTTAATTGTAATTCCCTTTTATTTTACAGTTAAGATATACATTGTTGTGTTATTTAGACGAATTATATATACAGAATGTGTTTTCAGCCTTGTATCACCTTCACTGGTGATCCGATGGATAAAATCTGCCGTAGAGTTGTCACTGGTTCAGACGTACTCATAATATAATTATTTCTGTGACTGCATCCTACATGAATTTGTAAGATCCTCTACGTTAGATAATTCAGCTGATCTGTAATATTCCATCTTCATGCCTTATATATCATGTACTGTATTACGACGCTAGATAAAAACTGACGAAGAAAGGTAACACCCGGCCACCGAAAGCTTGATTTTTGTCGGCCTAGGTGGTCGAGTGGTCTAGCGCGCGGGCATAGTGCAAGGCGATTTGGTGCCACGATATCTCAGTAGCATGAGTTCAAATCCCAGCCAGGGAAGAACAAAAATTTGCCTCCGCAAATTTACAGATCTAACATTGTTGGGCTGTTATTTGGACGAATTATATAGACTCTTCAAAATTCAAGAGTCTATCCTAAATTGAGGTAAATTATATGGCTTTCCGAATACCGTTTCGATTCCTAACATCACTGAAGAGACATTAATTGTCGAAATCCGGATATGGTGTGCAAATTTTTGCACCTCATGTTTGCGGTATACCATCTTTTCCGCAAGTTTATTGTTTTCTGTTTGGGATCAAATTAATAATAAAGATCCATTTTGTTACATGTTGTGATCCGTTTGTTTGGCAATTGCCAATGGCAGTCAGCAGTGTTTAAGAACATCCGTTAATCGACCTGTTAGTCAAATGCGTTTTGTTTAAATATACTTTTTCACTTTTATGGTCTGTTGGAAAATGTTGTTTGTGCTGTATTTAGACCCCTCAACCAAGAAATTTGTTTTGCATGCACATGTATAAAAGTTGCGGTTTTTATCCAACGCAATCATAGGTTTGAACGTTGTTTTCAATTTAGAGATACATATATATATATATCAAATGCGTTTTGTTAAAATATACTTTTTCACTTTTTTGGTCTTTTGGAAAATGTAGTTTGTGCTGTATTTAGACCCCTCTAACAAGAAATTTGTTCTGCATGCACACGTATAAAAATTGCGGTTTTTATCCAACACAATCATAAGTTTGAACGTTGTTTTCAATTTAGACTTGTTTATATTTTTTCGTTTGGGCTTGTATCATATTTGCCTTCGGGTTTATATGATCCGTTCATCCTATTTTGACTCCTCAAAATTCAAGAGTCTATCCTAAATTGAGGTAAATTGTATGGCTTTCCAAATACCGTTTTGATTCCTAACATCGCTGAAGAGACATTAATTGTCGAAATCCGGATATGGTGTACAAAAACCTTTGCACCTTTTGTTTGCGGTATACCATCTTTTCCGCAAGTTTATTGTTTTCTGTTTAGTATTAAATTTATAATTAAGATCCATTTATTACATCGGTGATCCGTTTATTTGGCAATCGCCAATGGTAGTCAGCAGGGTTTAAGAACATTTGTTGTTCGACCTGTTAGTCAAATGCGTTTTGTTAAAATATACTTTTTCACTTTTTTGGTCTTTTGGAAAATATTGTTTGTGCTGTATTTAGACCCCGTCAACCAAGAAATTTGGTTTGCATGCACATGTATAAAAGTTGCGGTTTTTATCCTTGCCTAATATATCATGTACTGTGTTACAACTCTAGATTCTACTGACGAGAAATAAACGGATCACCAGATGTAACAAAGTGGATCTTAATTATTTATTGAATACCAAACAGAAAACAATAAACTTGCGGAAAGATGGTATACCACAAACATGAGGTGCAAAAATTTGTACACCATATCCGGATTTCGACAATAAATGTCTCTTCAGTGATGTTAGGAATCGAAACGGTATTTGGAAGGCCATATAATTTACCTCAATTTAGGATAGACTCTTCAATTTTGAAGATATAAGTGAATTCTTCTATGTGTAACTTATGTTCCTTTTTTTCAAACGGTCTGCATGTTGGTTGATTTTGTTTTGTGAGGGGGGGGGTCCATTAGAATTGTTTGGCCTATCCATACGTTATCCTCTTAAGTTATGGGAACAATTTCTTTGTGTGCTCCGTAGTTGTCTATAATGGATATAAAAAGATGTGGTATGAGTGCCAATGAGACAACTCTCCATCCAAGTCACAATATATAAAAGTAAACCATTATAGGTCAAAGTACGGTCTTTAGCACGGAGCCTTGGCTCACACCGCACAGCAAGCTATAAAGGGCCCCAAAAATACTAGTGTAAAACCATTCAAACGGGAAAACCAACGGTCTTATCTATATGAGAAACGAGAAACGAGAAACACTTATGAACCACATCAACAAACGACAACTACTGAACATCAGATTCCTGGCTTAGGACAGGTGCAAACAATTGCAGCTGGTTTAAACGTTTTAATGGTACCAACACAAGTGAACATACACTGAACGAATAAATTTGATCTATGATACAATGTAAATACAAAATCAATTAAATAAGGGATGAATAACTAAAGTAACAGTTACTGTATTATACCGCTGTGAAATGTTAAACAATTTCAGAACAACAATAACGTTAAACAAAAATCCGCCATTTACAATAATATTATACACAGGTAAATGAAAATAATTTTGTTGTTAGGTATACAGTTTAAAAGGAGAAAGGAAATATTTTTACACAATAAATAATTTTGATGTTCATAGTTCGAAGAAGTGAAAAATTATAGTAATACCAAACACTTATCAAAGCTGGTATATAGACCAGATATAACCCTGAATAAGTAAACATTAAATAACAAAAAAGCATTACAAATAGTATCAACAGGTCAAATTAACAAGAAAGTACGATTTGAGAGTACTCGCAGTTACTGACAGCTAGTTAAAAGCCAAAAACAATTAATAATTAAAAATCATGCATCAGAGGCTAAAATCAACTAAAACACATCCCAGGGATTTAGTATTTTAACGTCATGGACAGTCAAAGAAGACATGACTTGTGCAATGCCAAAAATAAATGTATCGACAGGCAGTAGGATAGTTAGTAGTTAACCTCTTAGTAGATAAAAATGAACGTGGGTGTGTCTTTATACATCCCGTTTGAAAAGAATACAGATTTAGTTATGGTTTAATTTGCTGATGACAAAATCGATATTAGTGCCAATGTAAACTATATTCAAAGATCTAATTACAACATTGGTAAGATAACCTTTACTAATAAGTTTGTTCAAAGGTTCGATGAGTTTACACGGATCACATAGTGATTTCCGCGCTTTTAGTACAATATGACCGTAAAATTTAGGATGTGAAATACCGTTTTTAATAAGTTTTCTACAGGTACAGCCAAATTTACTAATCAAATCTTTGTATCTATGAAAGAATTTAGTAAAAGTTTTAAGTAA